GGATTTTTACCACTTTAGCTTATTGATTTGAGCAAATGAGGCAAAGTTGAAAGTTTAATAGTCACATGTAGCACATTGGCCTTAGAGCCACCAACGAGAGGTTGGATCAAGTGGTAAGCGATTTGTTCCAGTTTAAATAAGATCTCGAGTTCGAGACCTTGTGTACACAGCAGCTTTCGTTGGGAGACTTACCCACCATCTCCAGGTGCGCGACGCGAGTCGATCCGGATTAGTCAAGACGAAGCCCTGGATACCGGACAGGAAATCAAAAAAAAAAAAAAACATTGGCCTTAGAGCCACCACATGGGATCATTTTTACACATTGACAATACCAACTTGGACCCACTCATCCATTTTTACTATGGACCCACTACATACACAATTTTTTTAATAAAAAAACAATATGACACTATGAGAGCCATTATATTTAAATAAATTATATGATTTTAAAATAACTATTAAAAATTTTAATTAACTTTATTATCAAATAATAAAATTTTTAAATTAATTAATTTCAATTAAATAAATTAATTCCTATTTTCTTTCCCTTACTTCAGTCATCCTCACCTCTAGCTTTCATTTTCCATCAATTTGTTTAATTTAGAGAGAAAGTTCAAAATGGAAAGTTTGGAAGATGATGGGGGTAGAATGGTTAAGAAGAATGGTAGTTTCATTTTTTTTATTAAAAAATTGAGAATGAATTGAACCCACATTGAAAATACATGTGGGTCCAAGTTGGCATTGCCATTGTGTAAAAATGATCCCATGTGGCACTGATGTATTGTTATGTGAGGCTCTAAAGCCAATGTGCTGCATATGACCATTGAACATTAAATTTTGCCTCATTTGCTCAAATTGATAAGTTAGAGGGCAAAAGTCCATACATTGTAAATTGAGAGGCAAAATCCCTCAAGATTGATAATGTAAAGAGCAAAACATGGGTTTTTGTCTTCTAAGCCAGTAGTGTCTGCATGTAATATGGGTGCTCATGTGGCGTTGATGTGGCACTCATGTGGTGTTGACATGGCATAAGTAATGGAGGACTAACAATCATGTGCTACACATGATCATGCATATTGCCTTATTATCATAAACATGAAAAATTAGAGGGTAAAAATTCATAAATTATAAAATGAGGGGTAAAATCTCTTATACCCAAAAGGTTGAAGGGCAAAGTGGGGCGTTTTTGCCTAACTTGCACAACATCTAAAAGGTTGGCCAAAAAAGTTACAACCACTCTGCATCTAAAAATCAGTTCTTAACCCTACATATCACCTTTACTTGGAAATTTTGACTTTTTCTAGAATTGAGTTTGAGGCTTTGAGTTGAGCCACGCAAAGGTCTAAATAAAGGAGGTATGACTGTCCTCCATAACTGACAACCGCGTAAGTAGGTACGTTACAAACTTACAATTGACCTGTTCCATCCTCCTATTTTTTAAAGAATAAATTTCTTTAGTTTTTAGTATTTGAACTTTTGAAAATTTTTCACTTTTTGAGGTGGTCATTGTACTAAATCATTTTAAGAGTTATTTAGATTAAAATTTTTTGACATAATTAATAATTGATATTTCAAAACTAATAATAATAATTATTTATAATT